TATGAATGCAGATGCTGAGCGCCTGCCTACATATTCCACAGGCTTGGTATAACTATGAAATGAAGTCATACATTTGCAAGCACTTTCTATATGTAAAGTGATCCCATTCATTTTTAAAAATTATTCCTCATATACCATAGAAGAAAGGACTTGAGATGAGGCATAAGTTAGAAGTGCAAGTCTACCATTCACATTTTGTGGTGGTTAATACTTACATTTTTCTGAGCTTTGCTTTTGTCCTTCTACATGAAAATGCTATCAGTTATCCTCCAAGACAAGTGCGCAGTGGTGTAACAGGGCAGCAAGGCAAAGGGTGCAGGCAATAAGAAAGGCATTGTCTACAAAGAGTTTAGAATCAGTAAGACTGACTTAAGTATGTACCTGCAGCACTAAGCTAAATGTGTTAAATAATGTCTATAATAAAGTAAATAATGTCTATAATAAAGTAAATATTCCTCATCTCCTGGCACACCATGCTCATTATGCTTCAAATATGATTGGCTAATGTACATTAATCATTCTAGTGAATTTATATAAAATTTCTAACATAGGCAATGTATTCTTTAGGAACTCAGAAAAATCTTGATTCTTATCTGTTTGGCAAAATTATGATAGAAAATTTTGTTGTGCAATTTTACTGAAATTGCCTCCAAAGATATCACAATTCAGTGGTATGCATTTGGTTCATGAATGCTTTTGATGGTAAACAATTTGGTTCTCAAATAGAAGCATTCAGCAAAATTTTGTTTTTGCTTGTGAACTCTGTGGTGAGTGACAAGAGGGGCTGTGGTCATCTTTTCCAGAATCATGGAATGAATTAAGTTCACGAAGCAATGTACCACTGTAGTTTAAAAAAATTTTATCATGAGGTTTTACTTATACTTTTTCAAATAAAAGAATATAGTAGTCAGTGTGGAGACCTGATAGATATAGCTATGATTATCCAGAAATGGTGGCTCTTTCATATTGCCTCATTCCATATTATTCATTTTCCTATGGCTTCCTTGTTGAGTGATCATCGAATCAAGGCAGTGAAGAGTCCAATTACATACACACTGCATTAGCTAAACACAGCAGATATCACCAGGCCTAGCTGTGTATTCTGAGATGACTTCTGCTTCTTCTACATAAATGGCTACCAAATGTAAGCATGAGCCAAAAACATGCCTGAGTCCGATGCACTCCCCAGCCCCAGTCTATGTTGCTGTGTTGGTTAATTCTGGACACCTGAATGCAGCAAAGTTGAGTGGTAAGGGAGACAAGAAGGAAATGAAGTTGTAAAGAGTGACTATGCAGACATTTGTAGAGAAACAGCTATTGAAAAGCAGAAAGTGGGAAGATTCGCTTGTCAAGGGAAAACTGACATGTTTGAGAACTGGGAGCTGATTCTGAGAAGAACTTCAGGAATAGGAAAAATATTCTAGTACAGAAAGAATGCAAATGAAGTCAATAGCCTGTATTTATTGAGTATTTTCTATACAATAGATATCAACCTAAGGATACTGAGCACTGGAGTGAGACAAAACTCATAAGCAGATACTTGTATGCATCACGAGAACTGAAATTGAGATAGTGCATCTAGAACTTGGAGGAAAGGGACAGACTGACCCTACAGCTGGTATATAGAAGAAACTAGCAGCAAGACTATGAGTAAGATGCAAGAAGCCAGAAGTTCTAACTCATAAATTTTACTAAGCTTATTTAATTGAAGAGCTTTTAGGCCAATATTTAGTTCTCTATAAATTCTAGGCCCTCCCACCACTAAGAAAATAGATTCTGTGCGTAAAAATTGCTATGTGCAGTGCTTTTGACCTGCCACAGAGAAGGGGCATCCAGGAGCAGTAAGAAGTAAAGGCCATGGATCCAGCTCGTGAGCTCAACAGGAGCAGCTGCTATTTCTCTCTAGGTTGGTGCACTAGCTTCTCAGTGCTCCCAACACATCTGTTGGCACCTGAGTAAGTGAATCCATAAAGGGTGGCAGGCAAAGCAATCGGTGCTACGATCTCTTTTTTCAGTTGGTACTCAGTCTCTCCATTACATTAATCTCTCCAGCCAGAAATTACCTTAGCCGTGCTGATCCTCTCATCTAATTCTAAACCCCATATTTTCAAAAAGAAATCAATTTAAATAATGGAGTATTTTCATAGTAGGCAGGCTTTCATAAAGTAAGAAGTGTGTTCCTGAATTTTTTTTTTTTTTTTGTATGTAAGGCTTTTGCTAGAGGTGCTTTCCATAATTTGAACCTGGAAAACTTTTTTTAAGGAACCTATATTTGGATATTTTGAACAGGGAAACTTACATGATTACTAAATTCAATATAAGCACGATTGGTTTATGAAGTTTTGTTCAAAGGTAATTCTTTCTTTTCTTTTCTTTCTTTTTTTTTTTTTTTTTTTTTTTTTTTTTTTTTTTTTGCGGAACCTAGGATTGAACTTAGGCCCTTGTGCTTCCCAGGGAAGCGCTTATTCCACTGAGCCATCTCCCCGGCCCTATACAAAGGTAATTCTAAAAGGAAACATTAAAATATTCTTTCTGATTTGTAGCGAGAGTCACTTATAAAGTTTGGAGAAATGATTAAGAGGGCAGATTTACCTTAGAGCTTTTTACCTAATCATTTAGTAAAAATTTACTAGGCAACTTTTATAAGGTCATGCATGAGGTAGGTCCCATTAGTTAGGACATGGTGGATGTTGGATTAAACTCATATAGATTTCTTCATAATTAGTTATGAGATACCTTTTTAGGTTCTTTCCATTTTCTTTTAAAAGCCCACATTTTCATAAAAATCTTTTCTTAAAAATTATCAGTATTTTCTCTTGTGCTAAATTACACTTTGGGGACAGTGAAGAAGGAGCAATGTCAGACTAATTGCTCCAATAATAATAGGGCCCAGGCGGCTAGCTTTGATCTTGGGAACCATCTGTAAGCCAAACCACTTTGATGTTTCCTACAATGGAAGCATAAATATTTTCTATTTACTGCATGATTGGACTTTCAGAAGTCTAATTAAGTTGAAGGTCAATTAAGGGAAAATGAAATCTTCACTACAAAAGTCACAGAAGAGGTGGAAGACGATGGCATGGTTATGTGTACATAAAAGGAGATAACTAACCTAATTATAAACTTATATAAACACCCAAAGAAATTGCCTTTCATGTGAAAAAAGGACCTAAAGCATTTTATAATGTTGAGATCATTAATGTGTCTTTGAAACACACCCAGTACTGGAGAAGAAAAGTAATATTGGCATTCCAAAACTATTACTAAAAAAAAAAAGTCACTGGAGACAGATAAGGATAAAAGCACTTTATAGCTCATCAGATGCAGTCCCTTACTCTTGAAAATGAGGGCCTTAAATGTATGAAGCACATTGGATTCTTCCAGGTATAGTGTGAAAGAGGTTTCATAGCTTGTTCAGAAGGCAAAAGAGCTGGAGCAGAGCCCCAGGAAACAGCATGTGCAAGAGCACACTGGGCCGCCTGGGGCAAGATTCCTCAGGTCTCTAAGCCTCGGCTTACAAATTCTAAACGTTGGTCATACTTATCTCATAGGTTCACTGTGAGCAGAAAAACAAACTTAATGCACTATGGAAAGAAGGGGGTGGGGAGGGAACAGGGTTAAAATTGAATAGAATATACTAAATGCATGTACCAACTTCCCCAAACAAACCCTACTGATTAGGTAACATTAACATAATGAAAAAGAGAAATAGGACATAGGTGCATCCCTTACACCCAGGCTGTACAAGGTAGGTTGAAATAGCTGAAATTCCTCTTCTGCCTGCCTCCTGAGGCATGGGCTTTAGAATCAGAGACATGAGACTGAACGTTTTTTCTCATACCTTCTGTTGTTGCTGCTATTGTTGCCTTAGATAGCTTCTTAGGCTTTGACTTTTCAAACTTTAAAATGAAGCGAAGTATTTATATCTTATTAAGAAGTGATAGAATTTATAGAAATTCTCTAGCACACAAGTGAGCCTGAAAAAGTAAGGTAACAAAACAGAACTCATCAAGTCTTAGGACATATTTTCAGATGTGGGTTAAGGCGTGCATGCGTGTGCATGTGTGTGTGTGTCTCTGAGTTCCTCTGTGTGCATATGTGTTATATGTGCTATGCACAATTTGGGGGTGTGGCAGTGAGTGGAGGTCTGTGTGAAATGCATAGGAGAGAAAAACTGTCAGGACATTCCTTTATCCCTGTCATTAGCCACAATTGTAAGATGCAGAAAGCTGAATTTGAATGATATAGGCAAACTTTCCTAACTGAATAAGGTAAACAAATTCTCCTTTTTCCTTTGCTGAGTGACACACATCTTATAGATTCTCTCTCCCTTTCCCTCCTTTTTGAAGTACATCTAAGGAGTCTTTTATCTGAGAAGTTCAAAGTATGCCCACTTACCTATGCGTCTTAGTGAAACCTTCCTTCCTAATGCGAATACTTTGGGACAAATAGATAACCAAAATTAACTTATCAGGCATCCCTGTTAGCCATTAGAGACACAGAGTATCTGACCATAGTGCTTGAATTTGTTCCCCAGGCCAATTAATGAAACAGCAGAGTATAAATTATAATCTTGGGACATTCCCTTCTGACAAGCAATGTCCTGAGATAGAAATTCTTGCTAAAGCAGATCTGAGCTGTTGGTTTTTCCAAGATAATATGACCTTGGTGTCTACAAACACCAGCGTAGTGATTGTCAGAAATCCCAGTGTTATCTATCTATCTATCTATTATCTATCTATCTATCTATCTATCTATCTATATTCATATTCTGGATAAAAGACAGAGGCTATTTTAAATGTATTATGGGTTATTTTTAGCATTTGGTTGATTTATCAAATTTAAAGTTCAAGTCTTGCCCTTGGATGTGAACCCAGTATAAATGTGCATCCCTGACCAGAAGAGGATGTTTTAAATTCCATGCCATCCTGCTAATGGGATCTTGAGGAGGAGGAGGAGGTGTGCCCTGGACACAAGTCACCTGCTGCTGCCATACTCACAGTTCACAGTGACCTTGACCTGCTTAACGTCTGCCGAGGAGACCTCGTTGGCTGCCTTGCACTCATATTTTCCCGACTGCTCCCTGGTGATGCCCAGGATCTCCAGATATTCTTCTTCTCCTTCAACTTCTCTTCCTGAAAAACACAAGTTTGCATGACTGTTTTTTAAAAGTCTGAAATATGCAGCATACTGTTTCATTCTTTGAGCAATAAATTCACATTTTTAAATGATTTGACAAAGCGCGTTGTCTGAGGTCAGGCTCTACAGGAGAGCCCAAGAAAAAATGTCTTGTGAAAGTGATCGAGTAAAACATGTCTCCAAGAAAGACTAGTAGAAGAATGAGAAAGTAGAGTTTGGAAGTGAATGAAGCCAAGCAAGTGAATCCAGTCTTGCATTTATGGTTTCCTTGGGTTCTGTCATCCTCAGATCTTTCTGGCTAAGAACTATGGTCATGAGAACGTGCTATACAGACAAAGTGTTATGTGAGAGACCAACACACCTTCAACTGTGAATGGAGAGCTAAATATCATTGGTTGCTAACTGTTGGTATTGGGGACACAGAGGGCCTTTGTGGAAAGATGCAGTTAATCATGTACATTTTAGTAAACAGGTAAGCTTGTTTAAATTTCCCCTATGTGGGGTATAATTGATTAAATGACTTTCTTGCTGAAGAGACTAATATAAAGAAGGAAGGTGAGGGAAAGAAAAAGCAGAAAGAGAAGGTAGACAGTAAAGAGCCTGGGCATGCAGAAAAGCTACCCAGAGCTTGGCTCGAAAGTTTATGGCCTTTAAATGTGGTTACATGGAACATACGCTTGCCTGCCCTAAAAGGTCTTGTCCAGTGCCATTTGGGTAAGGATGGAGCATCTGGGGAAGGTATTAAAGAGTACAGTTCTGCCTCCATGATGGAGTCTTGTTTCTGGTCATCCTACACTTAAGGGTAGCAATTAGTAGCTCTTCTAAAAGGCCACAAGCTGCTTCTCTTTTCTGGAAATTCCCTGATGGTCAAATCCACATGGCAGCCAGCTCACATGGACATGAACTCACTGTGTAAATATGTCAACTAGGCTGTCATCAAGGCTGTTAATACAACACCGGACTTTGACAACATCTTATGACACAACTGGCAGGAAGAATCTAAAGTTTAAAATCTTTGTCAAGTGTCATGATCAGGTTTTTTCTTTTTGTTGTTATTGTTATTGCTGTTGGTATTAGGGTTCAAAGCTATGGATACTTTCTTACTGAGCTACATCCCAAGCCCTATTTATTTATATATTTATTATTTTGAAGCATGGTCTTGCTAAGCTGTCCAGGAAATTCACCAGCCTAATTTTCTCCAGTGTTAAAATTATAAGCATTTGCCACCACCATACTGAGAAAAATCACCAGCTTTGAGGAACCTTTGCAGCCCAGGGAGAAATAGGGAATAGTGATATAAAATCATTCAGTTTTGAAAATTTTCACATTGTCTAGTGTGTGCTTACCCTGAAGGTGCTTTAGAATTGGTCCATGATATTTACCTGGATATTATTTGTAAAATGCTAAATGTGTTCTCCTCTCTGTGTTTTCCCTTTTCCTTCCACATATGAAAGAAGATCTGATTTTGTCCAACAGTGTGAAATACAGTAGAAGAAATCCTGAAAAATCAGTTGACTTTATTGGGTTAAGCAGGCAGGTTTTAGACTTGAAGTTGAAAAAAAAATGTTAAATGAAATAGGATATAAAAATATGATGAATATTTAAATAAAATTTTAGTAAAATAATAGTAATTACGGTAAAATAATCTCACTTAAAACCTTACCCTCAATTCAAGCACAATTATCTCGTCATTCTTTTCACTTTTTAAAAAACCTCCTTTTTCACGAATATCTTCAGGCGCACTATCATGGCTGCCTGGATGTCCTAGATCAACTCAAAATATGGTCACTTTGATTTTGTGGAAGAGCCAGAAAATGCATGGTGCCAGAGCCAGTGTATAAAGTGGATGAGAGCACACCACAATGTTTCTACAAGCCTGCCTCTCCATTGGTTAGCCATCCACAGCAGCGTTCACTATATTTTTTATCACACCTGGGGTCTTAGTGACTTTTCTGATTGCTGTAGCAAAAAGTTAAAGGGAGGAAAGTTTTATATGTCTCACAGTTTGCAGATGATTCACTCCATAACTGACTGGCTCCAAGACACAGTGGCACACAGCAAAGGGATAGTTGTTCATGGTAGCAGAAAAAAGAGAAAGCAACAAGAGAAAGGCAAGTAACAAACCTCTTTCTTTTTCTTGTTTTGTATGCAGGCTGACCTTCCTAGGGTGGAATAGAACTCACACACTTACTCTCAGCATTGGACCATGGATCAATCACAAATTCTAGATTCACTCACCTATGAAAACTCTGTCCCCCATGATTAAATGAAGCTTTCTGAAACACAAACTGTGATGTTCCATCCCTTTCCTTACAGTGACTCACATATGTTTATTTGCATAAAAAGCATCTAGTACATGTTTAAGAGTTGACAAAATCTTAACAGTTTCAGCATTGCTGAAAAGTACAAGTTCAAAGTCTCTGAGATTAAAGGGAAACTCTTAGTTGTAGGCTGCTGTACAACTGAAAAGATAATTAAACCCTTCTACCCTTCAATGGAACAAGAGAGACATTTCCATTCCAAAAGTTACAAATGGGGATAAAAAGAATGGGATCAAAGAAAGTTCAAAATTCTGCAGGGCAAACATTGAGTCCTATAGTACCATGTGCAGCATCCAAAGCAATCTGTGGGAAAATGTGTATCCCAAAGGACTTGACTGGCTGCGCCCCTATAGTAGTTATACTGTTTGTAGCTTCCATGGATTTTATCTTGTTCTTCTCTGCTTCTTCCTCCAGTTTTCCTCAGATGATCCATGTTTTTGGCCTCTCCAAAACTTTGGGGTCTCTACTACATCTTTTGTAAAAAAAAAAAAGTATTTAAATTTATGTAGTTATTTATTTGGTTCAGAGTCTCACTAAGTAGATTGGATTTGTAGTGATCCCCCTGTCTCAGTCTCCCCAGGACTGGAATCACAGGTGTATACCACCAAGCCTGGTTTCGGGGCCAGCATGGCACACCTGGGGGTCTGGAGCTGGAACAGCATGTGGTACTGGGGATCAAACCCGTGTCTTTGGGTTTGCCAGACAGGTGCTCAGACCACTGGACTATCTCCCCAGCCACTACTGTGTCTTTGGCTTCTCATTCATAGCTTCACATATCACCTTCCCAGGGATATATTTTCTGGCCTATCAGGACTTATGAAATCTGAGTGGAAGCCTCCCTAACTATACAACTCTTCCATTCTTCATGCACCTAAAACCAACACCACATAGATGATGTTAAGGTCTCCTCCCAGATGTAGCTGTAGACAGGCTTTCTCTCTCTTGACTGTTGGGTCTAGTGCCTGGATTGCTGAGTACTATGAATCCAAAGCTGAGGAACAAACTTTCTATGCTCCTGCCATACTTCAACATGGTATGGCCACCATCATTTTGGAACATGGTGCTCTGGGGCTTTCTCTTAAAGCAGTCTTTCATTTTTGCAATTTTGAGGCTCAAAGGTAAAGTTCTGTTACTTTTTATGATGCCCTCAGGTCATCTTTTCTCTCCTCCAGTTCCTTTTCAACAATCAAGGTATCCTTTGTTTTATCTTTTCAGTCCACAGCCTCCCTGGAGCTTCCTTTCTGGGAAAACTTATAGTATTTTAAATAGTTCAGCTGGGCTCTTTTCTCTTGATTCTCAACATAAATATGGTTAAAAGCCTCCAAAAGTAGCTATGCCACAGCTTTAATGTTTGACTGCTTTGAAATTTCTTCTGCCAGAATAATTAGCTTATAGCCCTTAATTTCATCCTCAAAAAAAGTCTCTGGACAGATAAACTTTCTGCCAAGGCATAACACACATCTTCTGAGTCCAATAACCAATGCAGTTCTTCTTCTCAGCAGAAACCTCTTGATCTTGATTTTTTTCCCCAGCTGTCTGTTCTTCTGAGCTCCGACTAGAATCTCCCACATGGTACATTCTCAGACTTTTCAGCTCTTATTTTTCAGCCAGCAACTCCAAACCATTACTAATGTTTCCTATTTCCACAAGCCAGCTCCAAAAGCACCTAAACCACACACAGTCTAGCAAGAACTTTACCTCTCTGGTTCCAAATGCTGTCTTAGTTACTTTCCTTCTTGCTGAGGCAAAATATCTCACACCCAAAGGTAAAAGGGCAAAAGTTTATTTAGCTCTCAATTTATAGACATCTCAGTCCATAATCTGTAGGCTCCAAGGCAAGGTGGCACAAGGCGGAGTATGTTGTGTTCAAGGCAGAGTATGTTGTGTTCAATAGTGCATGGTGACAGATGACAGGAAAAGCAAGCAAGGGAGCTCAAGGCAGGCCTCTTTCTTCCTCCTATATTCTATGCAGGCTTCCTCCACACACACACACCTGAGCGCAGGTGTAGCATCCACATTCTTTATCCCAACATTAGACCATAAATAAAGCACAAACTCTAGATTTACCACTCTATGAGTTCATGAGGCTTTGGAGGGACAGCTAGCTACAGACTGGAACACCTTGTAAAGACGCTCTTGAAGGAAAACTTCCAGGACTGCTCCAGAAAGTGGCAAGTGGCAAGGATGATGGAAGAGTATGCTTGAAATGAGGCAGAGTGTTTGAGGAAGATTAATGGAATGGAAAGGCATTGTGTCTATTACAAATTTCTTTCTTTCTTTCTTTCTTTCTTTCTTTCTTTCTTTCTTTCTTTCTTTCTTTCTTTCTTTCTTTCCATTCCTATAAAATTACTAGAAATAAGGGGCCCTATATGCTTACCTCCCATTTTTAATAACTCAAAGGAATAGACTAGTTGTAGGAGACAGAAAGAAAATTATAGCAGCAGCATCCGATTCCCTACAAGGTTGGTAAGAGGTGAGGGTAAATATTAAAATGATTGAAGTAAAACAAATCAATATTTATTAGATTTTCAACTTGGGATTCTTACAGTGCTAATGTATGTAACAAACTCATTTCCTGATAATTAGCTAGGAAAACTGATCCTTATCAGATAATCATTCAGCCTCATGTCACCTGGAAGATTTTTCCCAAATACTACCTGAAGATGAAAGGGAAA